CGCAGGCCTGCGCTCAATCCACTGAGCTACACCAGCCAGGGCTAAAACATTTTTAAATGTAAAAATAATTAAATAATCAGTTTTATAAATTAAAAAGGACACGTAAAAATAATATAATTCCATATATTTTTAGATTAAAAAATGAAGGCCTAAAATCTATGTTTAAAAAAAAAAGACCCTGTAATGTCTTTGTCGATGGCACATCAGTAGATAGGGACAGAGCTGGAGACAAAAGTCGATTCTCTTCGACCCAGGTGATCACCTGCCTCCCCCCCCCCAGCCCCAGGCTTGCTCACTGCCCATCACAGGCACAGCTAATGTTAGAAGTGGTTCCTGTGTCTGTATTGGCAAAATTCTAATTCGCATTTGCAACATTGTTAGAAGACTCTTTAAATTAGTCTGACGATAGAGCTGTAATCAAGCTCCTTTGGTATTTCCTGCGTGTGTTCAGTGTTACCTACCTAAAGACGTTTGAACTCTTGTGGAGCTACCTCCACAAAGGCAATTAAATAAATTCAATTGTAGTGAAAGCTGAGATTGTGTGGCTTGGAAGATTCGGTATAGAATTTCCAATTTAATGCTTCGAGTGTGTGTGTCTTGAATCTGTGTAACTGGCTTATTCTGGGAACTGAGGACCATTTCGTTTCTCGGCGAGTGATGGTCCTGCTACCAAACCCTTCAAGAGTGAGATCGCTGGGGTTTTTCTTGTCTGAGACTAAATGACAAATGAAGAAAACACATGTTCGGCTGTAACACACTACGAATATATTTATTTTCACTGGTGACAGCTAAGGCCACCAGTGGAATGAATGAACAGCTAAGGTCTTTGCATTTCCCCAAGTATGGGTGTAATTTACAACACATGCATTTCTTGAAATATTTCTTCACTAGTAAGAATTATTCTCCTAAAATACCCACCCATCAAAAACGAAAGATGACATTATTGATTTTTAGAATTCTTATTCCTGTTACGTCAATAAGCAATCCTGGAAAGAGAATCAAAAGGCAGGAGAATTGCCGTTGATGCTGAGGGTTGAACTTGCAAATGCAGTGGGTGAAAGGACTTGTGCTTGCTCCAGTGGCCTGAGCGAGACAAAGTCCCAGGAGAAAGACTAGAGAAAAACAATGTGCAGGGAAGCCTGCTGGGGAAAGTTGACACTTTCAAGTACCGCAATAGTCTATAGAGGGTTACAGGTATGTTTTCTTGAGCATCTAAGGTCTGGAGTGCACAGTTCTGGGCAAAAGTCCTACCCAAAGAGACAACAGGAAGTCTCACCAGACCAGGCACCTTTAACTGTAACTCATGTGGATTCTTTGTTTTTCTTTCTTTTTTTAAGAGAGTAACAAAAATGCAAAAATGGCAATTCAGTGTTTTGTCCTCTCAATTTTAAAGCAAATAGCCAGCGTTACCGACTTTTTTGCTCTGCATCCAGGGTGCCTTGCAGGGTCAGACTGCATTCTGTATTTGCAACAAAAGTAGCCGCTCAGCATCTGGTACGAGGTATCTGAATGGGAAGCAGAAGCTGCTGATGTTTTAAATTAGGATGAAGGCTGAGGAATTCAGGACTTACTTTTTCACAGAAAGAAATGTTTCTATCCGTTCTTTTGATGACTGGGATTTTGAGGCACTTCTTCGAGACTGGGGTTCAGGACTCTGGTCGTTGCGATGTCATCACAGAAGGAACATCAGTCCTAGCACATTTTTTCTTGACACTTCACTTTCTTGTCTGTAAAATGGGAATAGGACGCCCTCCCTGCCCCTCAGGGCTGCCACAACAATCAAAGGAGCTAAAAAATAAGCTCTTTCCAGCTACCCATGAGTATGGGTATGATGCGATCCTAGGATTTGTTCTCTCCGTCCCTGAAATCCCTTTTCACCCTCACGAGAACTCTTTTAAGTTGTTATACCCATTATATAGATGAAGAAACAGAGGCTTAGAGGGGGAAAAAAGTTGTCCATCATCACATGCTAGTAAGGGTGGGGATGGGAATCAGGATCTGATTTCAAAAACACTCCGGAACGACTGGATATGTGGTTTTCCACTTTTCCTTCAAACAATTACCTGCTTCTTTCACTGTGTTCCAGCCCCCAGCTCCAGCCCACTTCAATCCGTGTTAAAGCCATTGTTGGGGAAGCAGCCTTAATTATCACTGGGGGACAGAAGGCTGCATCTTCCAGGAATTTGGCAGACCCCAGCAGGAGGCAACCACAGGCCTTTGGCAAAAGATCACTTTTCAACAACATTGTCAATTTCAGTGACCCCCCGACCTTCCACCTGCAGGTCCCCAAACAGCTGCTGTGCTGTGGGAAGCCGGGTCAGTCTGTCTTCCTTTAAAAGGCAAATGCATAACCCTCCCTCCTTGCCCCCTGCTGAGGTCCCACCTGGGACTTCAGCCCCAGAGCTGGGGGTCATCTCCCACATCAAGAAATGAAGGGAAAAAAGCAGGGGGGGTACAGCTTTGACAACTGACCTGAACTCCCCCTTTTAATATAAGCCAGGTTTAACATATGTCATTCTGTAAATCCGGGAGTCCAATTTGAGGCTTGTAATTGCTGTTCCTCCCAGTGAGGTGGAGCCGTGCCAAGCACATCAAGGTAACCAGTGGAAGATATAATTTGCCCACCGTGAAGCCCGCGCTTCAGTTCCCTATTGTAATTTTTATTTGTGTTGAGGTTTTGCGGTTTTAAAAAAGTCAACTAGATTTATTTTAAAATTAAGGCGAACCAACATCAAAGGCAGTCAGAGGAGGATATTTAGGTATTATAAAGAAGCCCTGTGTAATCTTTTATGGCCGTATTCTTTTTCAGGGCACGTATCAGTAAATGGTTAGGGACCTTTCACATCCAGCTCGCTGTATTTCTCTGACCTCAAACTACCCACCAGGGGAGAAGATCCCTTTCCAATGGGATTTAGAAGCCCCCTCTCTCCTCCTCCACCACTTAATCTAATCCTGTTTGTAACTTGACCTGCTGCGTGAAGAGTAAGAAACTCAGGCGGATGCCCCTTCCTACCACACAAGTTCCCGAGATAATACAACTCCAAATCCCATTCAGAAACGACGAGCCCTTTCAGGCCGACAGAATGGGGCCATTTGGTTGGGGAGTCATTCACTTGTAAAAGAGAAGAAAGTTTATATTCAAAGTTTCCATGAAAAGAATGGCAGGTGATACCTGCAAAGCTTGTTTGCTTTTTAATGCTGCAGGATTTTTTCAATCCAGATACGTATATAAAATGTATTTGTTTATTGGCTCATGTAGGACACTCTTGTGCTTCCTGTGTTTTGGGCACTTTTAAGCGAGAAATCGATAGACAGATAGATAGGTAATAGATACATAGATACAGGTAGACAAAGTTGTTCCTCAGAAGAACTTTTTAAGAGAGGTGCTCTTGTCCTCATTTACACATGAGCACACTGAGCCACCCCAGCTTCCGCCACTCTGCAAACCTGTCTCTTTAAGACGGAGTGTACCTCACACTTCTGAGCATTAGTTGTGCAGTCTCTACTCTGCTCAGTGTTATATTGGGTTTTGAGTCGTTGCACTTCTGCAGGTTAGCCAGCAGGCATGCAGGTCATCGTTCCAAGAAGGGGAACTGACTTTTCTTTCCAAGAAGACCAGTGCTACCAAAACACCCCTGAGACTGGCTATTCGTGAAGCTGTGGTTCATATGAAAAGCAATCTTGGAAGCGGCTCTCACTTCACGTTTCCTTCGTTTTGTTGAAGGAAGTGGGCTTTGGAATCGAATCCTGGTTCTTCCACCTGCTAACTTTGTTAATCTGAGGAAATGAACTTTGCTGAGCCTGAGTTTTCTCAGCTGTGAATGGGAATGATAAACCTATTTCCTAGAAGAGCCAAGATCATTAAAGGAGCTAATGTATATAAAACACTTAGCATAATACCTGACACATGGTAAATACTAAGTTTTAATACTAAACTGTTTCTCTAGTCTTAATAATATCCAAGAAGAAGGTTCAACATCATAAGAGTCTGATGGAGAAGTCAAATGTAGACGAGTAATTCTCAGCACGAGAAATGTAGTATAGATGTGTTCTCTGGGAATCTGTGGTGGCAGCGTCCACTGGCTGAGGGAGTTGGGTAAATTTCAAAGAGAAGGTGACGTGTTTTGTCCCCAGTGGAAAGTGTTGGTACCACTGGGCTCTTGCAATACGTTAAATACAGGCCTGAACCGGCCTGTCCTAGAATGCTAGACTCCCTCCCCCATGTACAACAAGCCTTACATCTATATCGATTTCTCTATAAAATAAACAGCTTCATTGGGAAGCACCTGTATTACAGAAGAGACTTGGTTACAATTCCAGTAAAGCCAATTATATTAGTGGTGTCTACATACAAGGTTAGGAATGAGAAAAACTGGTAGAGGCGAGGTATACAGGAGGGGGCAAACGCAGTTGTGAGTACTGGAAACAGAGTTTATTTTGTGTTATTATTAATTACCGTGTCGTTTTCCATATGAACAACTGTATACCTCCTTTTACCTGTCCCATATAAATGCCCTAGTAAATTCAGGAGGAAAAAGTGTGTTCAAATTATGATTCATCATTCCACATAACATATTTGTGACTATATTTAATAGCCTAATTAGCAGTAAAATTTTATGAGTTAACATCACGATGAGAACATTCCCTTCTACATTACTGAGTTTTATCTGTAGATTTGTAACATTACCATGATCGTCTTGATGTGTTTCTACACATTTTGTTCAGTGAACCCAAATGAACTTGCACTAATTAGGTTTTTAGCTGCCAATCTTGCTTTTATGAGGTTGAATCCATATACCTTCGGAAGACACGTGTTGTTTGGGGTGGAGAAGACTTCAGATCTTCCTAAATTCGCAGGCAGAAGTCACACAGGAGAGGAAAATACTTTGACAGAGTCTAAATTATCTTTCCTAAATGCTTACTTCACAACCTTTAACTTGAGATAGTTTTGTAAGAGGCTAAAAACCAATATCGTAAGATTCCTTTCTGGATCTTCTCAGAACTCCGAGTTACAACTACGCACCAAACATGGACAAGCACTGGATTCTGCAGTATACGGGGCCCATGCTACCCATCCACATGGAATTCACAAACGTTCTGCATCGCAAAAGGCTCCAGACGCTCATGTCGGTGGATGATTCTGTGGAAAGGGTAAGCACGGGAATTTGCCTCAGGGACGAGGTTTTGGCCCAACGTCCCGTTCTTGTCAATCCAGTTTTGTTGTTGTTTGTTCTGTTCTGTTTTGTCGAGAGAGAAATGAAAGAGAAAATGTGTCAGGCCCCCCTCATCTTGTGATTTCTTCCGTTACCTCTCTAGGCTTGGTTCTTGTAGAGCCAGCAGCAGAGAGAAGATAAATATCAAAACATCAAAATCAAGGGCTACACTCACAAATACCTTCAGGAATTAAGCAAATAATGTAAATAACTAAAGCAGATCCGGTATGAAGCAATAGGGAACGGTGAGGATTGTGGTGAACTTGAAATTCAGCGATTCGTTTAGAGGAAGGAGCAACTACTCAGCTCCAGCTAATTTTTGCCACATAGACATGTAGATTCAGCAGCATCATCAAGTTTTCTGGCTTTTTGGGAAAAAGCCAGAAATAAAAAAAAAATTTATTTGAAATTTCATGAGTTTTAAAGCATGCATAAGCCAAGGAAGACCTGGCTAAAAGCTAGATCTGACAGGCTCAGAGCAGTCTGTTTGTAACTCCTGATCACTAGATGTAGGAGTGATGATATTAAAATTTGCTTTCACAATGAACTTTTCAAAGTAAAACCTATAAGTTTGCGCGTAGAGGTGTTTTGTGGGTGGTTTTTCTTTTCTTTCAAATAGGTGAACAGAAACCTTTGAGTAGCATGTGCCAGATTCACAAATGTTACTTTTCAACTGGATTATGGGACTTTTCCCTCCAGGACTGTAAGCAGCATGAAACTGTGGTTAACGTTTGCATTTGTTGGTCCTGTGAAAGCAGCTCCTGCCTTTTAAAAGTAATGGAAAAAAGATTTGGGGGAAATCATGGCAACACTGTTGTGATCTCGGGCCATTACGACCACTTCTGACTTGTCCCCGTGCTGTGTTTCAGCTGTATGACATGCTGGTGGAGACAGGGGAGCTGGAGAACACTTACATCATTTACACCGCCGACCACGGTTACCACATCGGGCAGTTTGGACTGGTCAAGGGGAAATCCATGCCATATGACTTTGATATTCGTGTGCCTTTCTTTATTCGTGGGCCAAGTGTAGAACCTGGATCCATGTACGTATTTCTGTGTTGGTAACGTTCAGCTGTCCTAGCTCATGGACATCTGAGATAATTCGATTACCGATCTCAGTGTCTGGTTTCCTTTTATCCAAAACAACAAAGGGTGTATGTAGGTTGCTAATTTAGAAGATGAAAACTGACACCTACCCCCCTCGACACATGTTAATCTAACTAACATATGCTATTTAAAGAGAAAGGAAAAATAACTGTATCAATGATTAATTCTCTCAGATTGACCAGAATCGAAGATAATGTATCATCCTTACTTTCTTTGAATTGAAAAAGACAGAGATACACTGTCTTTTTAAAAAATGAGTGCTATCCTCTTAGTTTTTTTTTAATTATTACTAAAGAACTTTTTTTAAAGCATGATTTAAAAAAAAAGAGGAAAGAAACCGAAAGGACTGGAGTTTTATTCCTGTCGCCTTAGGCAAACCACCGCATCCCTGTGTGTCTCTCTTTTCCCATCGCACGATGGGTTTCATGTGCCCTGCCGACCACAGCAGAGTGTTTTGTCTAAAGTGAGAACATGTGCACAAAATAATTACAGAAAGAGCGAAAGAAAAAAATGCAAGTAGAATTCAAAAGCTGCAAGGCCCATGCAGAGCATCTAGCCAGGACCCCTGAGTTCACGAGGAAGCAGCTCGACTGACAGCTGCTTTAGAGTCCCGGTCCTGGATGCCGGTGCCTGAACCTCATTCCTGTGCGGGAATCCACCCCCTCCCAGGGAGAGGGGGATGTCATGAAGAAGGGTTTCCAGGAAGAACGTCATTATGTCTCTTCAGATCATTAGACACACCTCAGGAACTGTCAAATCTGGAATGAGAGGGCTTTATGTTGGAAAGTCTAGACGGCATGGATTTGATTCAAATGTAAAAACTTCATGTCCTTCCTTAGAAGTCGATTTTAAAGCCATAGTTTACCAGAGAAGTTACGGACTATTGGGTTTTAGAAGAAAATGCACATCCTACAAAAACCATAGATCAGGCCATGACTTGTGTGACAGTGTGGCCCAGGCTCAGGGCTCTGGGCATCTTTCCAGTGGCCCCTGTGAGAGTCAGTTCATCTTGCTCTGTGCTGTCTCACCACTGATCACTGAGCCACCTGGCCAAAGGCAGCTCACTCCCCGGGAGACCAGCTGGGAGAGGAGAGGCACTGAAGGCCAATGGGTCACAGTGTGGAGACAGCAGCCCTATGGACCACCCTCCACTAGTGCCGGGTCTGGGATGTAACCCTCTGTCCCGTTGCAGAGTCCCCCAGATTGTCCTAAACATCGACCTGGCCCCAACGATCCTGGACATCGCTGGGCTCGACCCGCCTCCCGACGTGGACGGCAAGTCTGTCCTCAAACTTCTGGACCTGGAAAAGCCAGGTAACAGGTGAGTCAACTTTCTTTCCTGCTGCTGACAGCCCCAGGCACCTGGCTCCCAGAACCAGCCAGAAGCTGAACGAGGTGGAGGCCAAGTAGCTTTGCCGTGCCGGGCGGTCGCCGAGCCAGGCGGAGTATTTCTTGGTCGTTTATACATAGCACGTTGATGGAGACACAGCCGTGGTCTGCGGGAAGTGAGAGGTGTTCCTTTAAATAAACTGTTAGCGCAGATCCGTTTGGAAAGTCCTCAGATGCCAACTGTAAATATTATTATTTTGCTTGCAGGTTTCGAACAAACAAAAAGGCCAAAATCTGGCGTGATACATTCCTGGTGGAAAGAGGGTAATTATTGGTTCCTGGGGTGCTTCTGGGAACCAGTCCTAGTGGGCAGCTTTCCCTGCTGGGTATTTTTTCCCCTTCGGTTTACGAAGCCTACAGATTTCGCAAGCCTGGTAACAAAATTGAATGGTTTGCTAGTCATTCTTCCTTCACTGGCCAGCAGAATAATGACTGTTGCATCAGAGAACTGTGAAGAATAAATTCTCATAAGAGGGTCCAAAGCCCTTACGTGGCTATGGATCTTACTGTCAGTTTCTCAGCCTTGGTTCCAAATCAGACCAGCCAATTGACTCTCTTAGCCATTCTTCCCAAGTCCTACCTGGCACCTTTCTACTTCCTCCCCTGGTATTCTTTCCTTAGTTTTAAATACACAAACATACAAGGCTGTGACTATTTCCCTAGTTGCTTCTGGATTTCCCCTTTTGCCTTATAATGCTCGCCATCTTTGCTTTTTTCCCTACGTATGTTGAGAGGAAGCATTTCTTTAAATTGCTTTTTAACAAAAAGAATCTTTGCGTCTGTAAAGCTACCCATTATATGCCAAAGTTTTGAAAGTGATGCTTTGAGGGGAAAGGATTCCTCCAATCCTGGCCTTTCCTCTTCACCCAGCCTTGTGGTGAGGGCCTCATCAGATGTTGAACTCTGTGGTCAGAGCCCTAACATCTATTTCTGGCTGTTTGAAGAATGAGGAGTCAGGGACAGGGAAGAGAACGCGAACAGGAGGGTCACAGGGGAGATAATTCAATCACTTCTCATATAAGAAGCTTTTCCCTTTCTGTCAAAGGAAATTTCTACGTAAGAAAGAAGAATCCAACAAGAATATCCAACAGTCAAATCACTTGCCCAAATATGAGAGGGTCAAAGAACTGTGCCAGCAAACCAGGTACCAGACAGCCTGCGAACAGCCTGGGCAGGTGAGTGATGCGGCTTTTCTCCGCCCCCACGTGCAGCTTCTCCATTTCTAATCGAGAAGGTTTTCAGCCCTGGCTGGGGGAGCTCAGCTGGGTGGGGCATTGTTCCGTGACCAAAGGGCTCTGGGTTCGAGTTACGGTCAGGGCACAAACTTGAACACCAGTTCAAGGCTGATCAGACATGTGAAATGAATAACCTGGTTATTATTAAAATGACCTCACTGTACTCTTTTGTATATGGTATCCTGCTCATTGAAGAGACATTCATAGTAGGTTGAAGGTTCAAGCCCTGGTCCAGCAGAGAATAATCCCAGGTCCAGGTATACACAGGAGGCAACTGGTCAGTGTTTCTCTCTTGCATCAATGTTTCTCTTTCTCTTCTCTCTCCCTTCTTCTTTTGCTAAAAAAGCAGTGAAAAAAGTGTCCTCAGATAAGGACTTAGAAATAAATTAATTAATGAAAAGATTTCCCCATGTATAATGTACATGTCTGTATAAATAAGCTTTTCGTAGCAGTCGTGGGGGGCTCACAGTAACACCTCCGCCATGACCGAGACCACAGGCTTGTGCCCTGACTGGGAATCTAACTGGTGACCCTTTGGTTCGCAGCCCGTGCTCAGTCCACTGAGCTACACCAGCCAGGGCTATTATAGGCACTCTTGATTGAGATTTCTGTTAGCTCCAAGAAATGCTATGTCATGATGCGAGAAACCGAATTTCTGCCCAAGTCATTGCAACTTAGACCAAAATCCGAGGAAAAAGAAGCGTAACTAACATTTTTGAGCATGTGTTTTAAGCGAGGTGCTGCACGCGGCATTTCCTGTGCATTGGCTCAATGTACCCTCACATCTGTCGAGTGAGGTGGGCCTCGCCATCACCACTGTACGGGGGGGGGAGTCTGTGTGCAGCCGGGGCGTGGCCGAAGTGGAATCCAAATTAGTTGTCTGATTCAAGAGCTCTGGCCACTGCCTTCCAGGGGAGGTTATGTTAACTAGGTAAAAGGAAGTCGAATCTTCTGACATCTGTTTTTTAAAACTCTTCTGTCCTCTAGCTAGCCACACGATTAGCCAACACCAGTTCCAATTTGGTCAGGCACACGGATAGCCTGGTTGTTGTTAACATGGCCCCATTCGTTGTACTCTTTTTATATACGGTGTCCCGCTGAGTGAAGAGTCGCTCCTAGTAAACAGTTTGACCCACCCACTGTCTGCATTTCCTCATGCTTTTCGTCCACACGGGCTCCTCTGAAACAGAAGACGGGCGAGGGAAGGTTGCTGAAGGAAGGGATGACACCAGGCCTTCAGAGCATTCTAGCAGGTCTTAATTTTCAAGTGTTTAGTGGAGAAACTTAGACCTGTTCATTATATTTTAATTTGAAGCCTTCAGATCCTTCTTATGGGAGCTCTAAGTATTATTATGACTAAAACCTCAGCATTGTTTGGTAGCTCTAGAATGATTTCTATGTGCCAGCCTTCATAGACTAGCTTACCTGGATTCAGTAGCTGGAAATGTCTAGTGTTAAATATAGCTCATGCAAATGGGTGATCTTCTTACTATTTAGCTCGCTATGTGGCAAGCATTATGACCATTTGGGAATCAGCTACACTGCCTACCTTTCAGTATTTAGTCTTGCAAACCTCTTCATAGGGCTTGTGCTGAAATTGGAGCCTAAACTGGGTCATGGTGCTCTGGCCCAAGCTTTCCGAGCAGGTGCTGTGTTGAAAATGTCACTTTGCTCCTTCATATTGTTCAGAACTTGTTTTGCCCCCGTGAAATGCTTCAGTGGCTGGCTCCCTGAATTGTCCTCTGCCACTTTATCCCTGTGTTAGGCAGTTTGAATGTAGGTTCTATCACATGGATACATGAGGATGTTAGCAGCGACCTCTTTTAGAAGAGCCTGGAGTCGTGGAATGAGGAATTCGACTGTGTCCCCAAAGGGGATTTCTTTAAGAGTCTGAGAACTTCAAGAAAATGTGGAGCCTCCTTATGTGGTCATTGAATCTGTGGGTCAAACCCAACATAGCTTAGTGGTGTTCTGTGGAATCTTTATACGTCGGCCTTTTTTGCTCTCTCTGGCTGCTTTGAAGATTATCTTTTCAGTTACAGTATCATTGACCTTTTAAGAAGGAAGAAAAAAGCCCAGAATAATGAGATTGTATTGTTCGGGATCAAGGTGACAGCTCAGGTTAGATCTCACTTGTCTGGAATCTATCTCTTGCCATTGATTTCACACCTGGTGCATCTCTTTCTTTAACCAAGAGTAACTGCCTTCGTTCGAAGGCAACACAGTCTTTTCTTTGATCGGGCCTTCCCTGGGGTGTAGAGGAAAAGGTAGCACCAGGAGCCCCACTTGCTTCGCTCCTAATCCTCGAAGACACAGCGTATGACCCCCTCCCACCACACGGCAATGCCTGGTCTCCCAAGGACTGTGTGGTGGGATCGATGTGGGTGCATGGAGTAAAGCAAATTTTTAAAAGACAGATTGAAATCACAAAGTTTGGGTTAGAAGATTGGCATCCACTGCTTTTTAGGGACCAGACACTTAATTTCTCCTGCGTCTTCGGTTTTCTGTCTCTAAAATGAGGAAACTTAATCAGTCTTCGAAGGATGAAGGATATCACGTGTGTGCGGAGCCGGGCGAACTGTGGAGCAGTGTGCGCATGCGGGGCGGTGGTCCTGTGCCAGGGCACCTCACCTGTCAGCCTCATTCCTCGGAAGCCGGCAGGGGATGCAAATGGGCTTGAATCCCAGACACTTGGCATCCCTTCTCCACTGCGTGAGCAGCACAGCCAGCAGGGACTGATTAAGACAGCGTGGACATATATGTGTGTGTTACTTCTGTTTCTGAATTAATATGAGGCTGAGTGTGAATTCCCACCCCTCTCAGCTGGAATTACACCCCTAGGACATTTATGTACAGACACACCACACACACAGACATGCACCAATGTGCAGACCTTAACTTCTGTCTGAAGAGACTTTGGTTCAACGGAGAACGGGACCAGTGATGCTCAGTTCCGGCTGCGCATCAGAATCACCTGGGGAGCTTTTGAAAACACTGATGCACAGCCTCACCCCAGACCAGTTAGAGTACAGCGTCCAGAGGCCAGCCAAGGCATCCGGATTTTCCAATAAGATTAAGAACCTCAGGCCTCCAGTAAGAAGAAACAGAGGTGGCAGGGGGCTTAGAAATTCTCTAGTTGAATGATACCGTTTTCCTAATAAGGAAATTTAGAGCCAGAAGACTTAAGCTAAATACAAACCCAAAGTCAGAACCTATTATCTCTTCTTTTCATGTTCTATCTTTTCTTCCCTAGAACATGCAGAAGTGTAAGACAGGAAACGTTCCCTTTGCAATTATAAATGGCATTTGACTGGCTGAAGCCATGGGGTTAGGACCCACTCACAGCATCGAAGACAATGGTTCTCACCCGTGACTGCACGTGAGAATCACAAGGTGTCTTTGGAAATGCTGCCATTCAAGTCCTACTCTGGAAAAATCAAATCGGAACTTCTGGGGAGGGGACCCAGGCATCAGCGATGGTTGCTTTTGTTTTGGATTTTGTTTTTCAAGTTCCTGAGTGATTCCCATAAGGAGCCAAGATGCAGAACCATTCATGTAGGGTGAACGTCATTTTTCCTCTTTTTTCTAGGTGTAAATATTGACTTGTTAAATAGCAGTTACATAAAAAAATTCCCTGTGCATTCAGTTCTGAAGCACATTTTTCATATGTTCTGTCATTTAAGAAGAAAAAATGTTTCATTTACGTACATCAAATGCCATGTCCTGGTGTGGGGTTGTTGAGTTCCAACATCTCTGCAGTGTAGTTTGCTTTTCTACACTTGTATCAACATAAAATCAAAGATTTGTAAAACTCTAAAAGGATCCCAGCATCAAGCAAAGGGAATGAGAATGCAACCTGTTGAGTATAACTGGTTTAGCTCCAGGATTTATGTTCTCATCCAAAAATTATCCCTCAGACCTTTTGTAACCAGGTGCAGAAGAGAAACAAAAGATGTTTACTGGCTAGAAATGGTTAAAATTGTTAGTTTGCCAGAAACTGACAGCCCGTTTCCAGAAACTCACGGAGCCCTGGTCAAAATCACAGCAATCACAGCGTGGCTCCAAGGCGTTTGCCTGAGTTCTCCTGACGCCAGAGGGTGTGGTCAGGAGGACTGAGCCCCAGTGCCGTCCTCTGGCTGGACTCTTGTCTGCTCAGGGCCCGCGTGCACACAGCTCAGCCCCTAAGTCTTGTCTCCGCCCCTCCTCAACCTCAGAGAACAGTTGTGCATCCACTTCAGTGTTTCGGCTTCTGTGCATTTCTCAAAATACGAACCACAAGGTTAAATATCAGACCATATCTAATGATGTCCTCAACAAGTCAGAGGCATAAACATAAGGACAGACACTACTACTCAACTACATGCTGTGGCCCCACCCCGTTTAATTTATGCTACTCTGCCTTATCTCCCACGACTCCCCAACATCCCACTCAGGTCCGGTTTCCCTCCTCCCTGCCCCTTCAATATGACTTTCTCATCTGCATGTAAGTGCTCTCCTCTGCCTTCCCAAATGCCGCCCCTCAACTGATGCCCACCTGACCCCTCATGCTCTGTCCCAGACTTTTCTCCTTTTTCACTGGCATCCTGGTCAGGGTGCATTAGGATTGCATCTCGGGTCCATCGTTTTCTTGGTATATGACATGGGCAAGGGAGTTAACCTAACTCCGCCTCAGTTTTCATTATCTGTAAGATGGGCATAATAATAGTACCTGCTGCAAAGGGCTGCTGCCAAGGTTAGATCTATTAGATATATTAAGTACCTGGCATATAGCAAGCACTCACCAATGCTGGCTATCAAGCATATGGCCAAGGTCAAGTTATGAATTTTACTTTTCCCTGAACTGCAAGAACCATACTTCTTCTAGCACTCCAATACTGACTTTTACACATAATTATCCAGAATAAAATATAGAGGAGGAAACATGTTCTCTCTTTTCTTCT